TTAGAGCTGACATTAGGTCTCTAGTCCCTAACTACCAGGTCTCAAGCTGGGTTGTCTTCTGCCGAGACTTGTTACCCTGGTTCTATGGGAAAGTGTTCAACATTGTGCCTAACAAGAGATGTAGATGTGTTCCCAGCAATATAACAGAGAGCCTGGCTTGTACCTGCTTAGTCTGGTGCAAGCAGACCCCAAACCCATGTGTGTTCAGGATCAACAGCACAAGGATGCTGAATCCACAACAGCATCACTGAAAGGCAGCAGTCGCCAAGGGAGTTGACCCAAGAGGAAAGCAGGTGCATGCACCCCTGAATCAGGAGGGTCCCTTCTGATTACAGCCTCAAGCCTGTTCTCCACTGGCCCACTCAAAACCCACAGGATGGGCCCAATCCAGGGACATCCTCAGACTCCTCTGGTATTGGACTTTTTTTTAAAAAAAAGATTTATTTATTTATGCATACAGAACTGGAGTACAGGCCAGAGGTGCAGGGGCCGTGAGAGGCTTCACCAGAGACAGTGGGGAGCAGAACAGGCAGATTGGCTGGAGTACTCTGCTCAGGAGAACAGTGGGCAGGTCAGGAGAGATCTGCCACGCCATGTGGGTCAGCTCCAGGGCCAGGGATCGAACTCACACACTGAAGCTGCTGCACCAGCTTGCAGTGCTGCGTCCTCACCCGTTGTGCCACTAGGGAGGGACCAGACTTTAATTTAATGCATTGGATTGCATCACTGTATATGTTTTAGGAGGATAGGTTCATACCAAGTCCCACAAATCCTCCAGCACATTGGAGCTCTCCACCTTGCCCTCGAGTTCCTCTTTCTCCAAGCGCTGGGGTAGTGCTCACCTCCCCCTGTTTTCTCCTTGCTACTCTCGCCATTGTAGAGTATGCTGTCGAGCTACCCAGCTGCTGCAGACTTGGGCTCCTGCAGGTTCTGTTCCCCTAGATGGAGGTCAGTTATACATTGCCCACACCCCTCTTCAGAGGAGGGAATTGGCAGAACCTGCCACAGGCTGCTGCCACCTGCCAACAGAAGTCACAGCAATCTCAGCCTCCTGAGTGGCAGAAAGGCCCAGTCATAGGCTCAGAGCCACAGTGCTGAGGGGACCCCTCACCTCAGGTTACAGAACCGGGCCCCTTAGGAAAGAGACCCCATGATACTAGGACAGGGCAGGCTGCTCTGCCAGTGCCAGCCTTCCACTCCAGGGAAGGAGTAAGGTGGCATTTATAAAGCCACACTGTGAACAGAATTTTTTGACATTTTATATCCACTGTAGTGAAGTTGGTGTGATTTTCCATTTTCCAGAAAGATAAATGACATATGGCAAATTCTGATGAGGACAAATGCATTTAAGAAAGAAGAGACCTGATGTAAAAATAAACTTTTGTAATAAAAAAAAAAGAGAGAGACCAATTTAGGCCCTCCCTGGTGGCGCAGCTGGTAAAGTGCAGTGCTGCTTCAGTGTGAGTTTGATTCTGGGCTCTGGAGGTGACCCACATGGCGTGGCAGACTTCTCCTGACCCACCCACTGCTCCCCTCAGCAGTGTACTTCATCAGTCTTCCTGTTCTGCTCCCCACTCTGTCTCTGGTGAATCCTCTCACCACCCCTGCATCTCTGGCCTGTACCCTAGTTCTGTATGCATAAATAAATAAATCCTAAAAAAAAAGAGATGAGACCAATTCAAGAAGAAATCTTTCAGGCCCACAATCTGTCGGTAGTTCCCCATGGTATGTGATTTGAGGAATTCTACTGAAAACTCCCATCTTGGCCTATTTTCCCACATGAATCTCTTGGAGTTAGAACCAGTTGCTATTATATATTTTGTCTAATATCTGATTGCCCCAAATGGTAATTATATTGATATAACATTTCAAAGAACTCTCAGACATGTTATCTTGCTGGAACCTATTTAATATATTAGGGAGAGACATAATTAGTTAAACAATTATTGCCTACTAACATCATAACTTGAATCAGTTTTACAAAGATAAACTTCATCCATTTACCCTTCTGTCACGGCTGACCTGGGAATCACAATGAAAAGACCCCCTAGAGCCAATGAGACACACCCCAGTCCTGAACACCCACGTTCCTAAAAGAACAATTTGGTTCTCCCTCAGAGCATAGAGCCTGGTGTGTCTGTCGTGATTCTCTTCAATAATTATAATCCTCCGATTTAGATCAGGTGTTATGCAGGGAACAAAAGGAAGCCTTCATTTTGCAACATCCCTTCTCACTCTCCCTTCTCAGATGTTAGCACAATCATTAAATAATGCACCTTTCAGGCTCTGAGTAATTCCTTGCATTGGCTGCCCCGAGGATGTCTGGGCTCCAAGAACTTGCTTGACATGTGCCAGATACCTCATCCTAACTTGAGGTGGAAGTGTAGTTTGAGGACAAAAGAGACTGTCTAGAGGGAGGGTCCTTCTTCCTTGGGGGTCCTTCACTGCCTTCACTGGGGCTAGACCATGGCAGTCATGTGGTCAGGGACAGATTTGGCCCTGCCTGTGGGTTTCACTGTCCTCACATATTAGTGAGGCATCAGTTGTCACTGTTCTCATCCCTGGCTGCACATTAGAATGGGGCTTTAAAAACTAATTCCAGGGGCCTTCCCTGGTGGTGCAATGGGTTAAAGCACAGCAGTATGAAGCTGTAGCAGCCACTGAAGTATGAGTTCAATCCCCAGCCAGGGGGATGACCCACATGGCGCGGCAGACCTCTCCTGACCTGCCCACTGCTCCCCTCAGCAGTGTACTTCATTGATCTGCCTGTTCTGCTCCCCACTCTGTCTCTGGTGAATATTCTCACTGTCCCTGTACTTCTGGCCTGTACCCCAGTTCTGTATGCATAAATAAATAAACCTTTAAAAAAAAATCCCAGGGCCACACACCCAGGAATTTAAACTTAATTGGTTGGGGTGGGACCCAGTCCCAAAGACCTTGACACACTTGTCCAGAACCCCAAAAGCTGAGTGAGAGGTTCTCTGTGACCCTTCTAGTTCTGGAAAAGCCCATAATCTTATAGGAACTACAATGATATAAGAAAAAAATTTTTAATAAAAAAAGTTGGAAAAAAAAGTCCATCTTATTTACCTATTTTTTTCCCAAAAAATAAATACCCCATTTTTAGTTTTCATTATATATAGGGTAACTTTTAATTACACAAAAAATTATTATTTGTTTGGGTATAATTGCCTTATAATACTATACATTTTAAAGTGTACAAGTTGAAAATTTTTCATAGGTGGGAAATGGTTACCCAATAATGATGTAAACTAAACCCTGCTAGTCTCCCCAATCCTCTTCTCTCCCTCCCCTTTCCCAGGTGACAACTGATCTGCTTTCTGTCACTATAGATATGTTTGCATTTCCTATCCTTTTATACTAATGAAATCATGCCATGTAGTATTTTGTGGCTGGGTTTCTCATTATTAGCTATGTCCTTATACTTTAGATTTCAAACTCTTTGAGAGGAATAACCACCTTTTCTTTATTTATTCTTCCTCCTGGCCCTTAAGTTCTCTGGACTCAGAGAAGTTCCTTAATCATTATTGCTTGATGGAAATCCCATCTTTATATCCTTACAACTGAGCTCCAGTTCAGTGATGAAGGAAGGCGACTGTGCTAAGGGTCTCAACTCCCCACTGCTTCTCTGCAGATTCTGGTGAGCAGCTTCAGATCAGCTAAGAAATTATACATTAGCTTAAACCAAAGGTCTTCATTAAGGGTCTCTGAACTCCCAGGGGTCCAGAAAATGAGTATCAGGATGCATGTTGTGTGGGGGGGGGGTGTCAATGGACAGGGGGAACTAGGTGGGAAAGGACCCTGGCTTTTACCAGATTCTTAGTTACCAAATTCTTGACCCAAAGGGGTAAACTATGGAATTATGGCATGCTTTCTTCCTTATAATTCTATGTGCATTTTATGAATTCTATGTCTAATTATTAACCTGTCTGCTCCATGCCTGCCTTCCTCTCATCCCCGCTCCCACTTTCTTTTGGTCTCTGCCTGCTCTGGAGTATTTATTCTACTGCACTAAGTTCCAAGCACTAACTCATGGCAATTCTGCTTCAGGGAACTTTCTGCATTCCTCTTCTCTTTAGGACCTTCACACCTAAGTTATGTGGCATGTTGTACCTTTCAGTCACTGATTCCAATTCTGCATTTTATACATTTTATAGGGCTACCATTGTGGTCACATATCACACACAGTACATTTCCTCAAACCCCCAGAGCACAGCATTCCTTTTCATCTTAAACAAGACCAATGACTCACTCTTAGCAATGGCAAGTATTATGGGCTCCAGAAATAACAATAAATAGCACTGTAAACTTACAACCCAGTCACCTCTATTCAATCCAGAGACACCTTCTCTCCTACATGAAACAAAATATATATGTAAACGCTATTAAGTCTGATTTTCAACTGAGAAGTCGATAGCAATATCACCGTCGAAATGACAAGTTCACGTGTGTCTGGCACAATCATACAAACGCTGGCTCAAAATGTCTTACAGAGATAGCAGAGAACAAGAAAAAAACTTTACCTGCTGGCCAAACAAGGGCCCCACCCCCACCCCCTGCCCCACTTTACTCCAAATCTTCTTCAGCTCTAAGCTTCTCCTTCTCACCTCTATCTTTCCCCCAGCAAAATAACAAATATAGACCCTCCCTGGTGGTGCAGCGGGTTAAAGCACAGCACTAAGAAGCTTAAGCCACTTCTGCATGAGTTCAATTCCCGCCTGCCCCGGAGGTGACCACATGGCGTGGCAGACCTCTCCTGACCCGCCCGCTGCTCCCCTCAGCAGTGTACTTCGTCCATCTGCCTGTTCTGCTCCCCACTCTGTCTCTGGTGACGCCTCTCGTCACCCCTCAACCTCTGTTCTGTATGCACAAATAAATAAATCTAAAAAAAAAAACAAATATAATAATTAAGCATTTTGGTCTAGTTTCACCCAAGTTCATCCCTCTACATCAAAGTCAAACCTCTGAAAGTGACTTACGTGGAAGCAGCAAAGGCACGCTCTGGGTTGGAAAGCCGAGTTTGCTGATGCCAGGCTGCTTAAATAGCCGGCCGGCTGACGCAGGCAGTTGATAGCACGTTTATTTACGCCAGGGAGTGCACGCTCAAGCAAGGACCTGAAAAACCTGCAGCGTGGGCAGAAGGAAAACAACTGAAAATATGCCAAGGTTACATCTCTCCTGGTTATTCAGGTTTGATATTCAGGTGGTGACTTCTGAGCGTCTCATGGAAGTTTCTCGTCACTACCTTCCTGTCTCTGATCTCTCCTTTGGCCAAATGAAGACTCTTCACTCAGGATGACAGAGATGTGACTGAGAGTGAGCCGGCAAAGAAACAAGCCACTCAGGACCTTGTTGCCAAGTTCCTTATTTTGAACTGGCTTCCAGTGAGATGTTTCCTCATTTCAAAGCCTAGGCTTGGGGAGATTGTTTCACAGCTTTGTGGGCTGGATGCCAAACTAGGAGCCTGGACAATTGCCCAATTAATGAAAAGTTTTTTTTTTTTTTCAGGCACAGAATGTACAAATAAAGAACAGTTTTAGGGGAGGTTCCCACTAGGATGATACAATTTTAGATCCCCTTTGAGAACTTTTAATTTTATTCCTCCTGCTTTCCCCTCCCCTTTCTTTGTTAATGAAATTCCTATCTAAGAGTTGAAAGATTCCCCCATGAGAGCTCGAATAAAAAGCCAGTGTGTGAGCAAGCCTGTGGGAAGATGTGTGAGCGGGTGTTCAGGGGTTTCTGGGACCATCACGGGCAACGTTTCTAAGGGTGAGGGTATGTGTGTGGGCGTGGGGACCCAGTGAGTTGATGTTTGTCTTTATTTTATAGCTAAATGCAGCAGTTAATACTCAACTGCAGTGCGTTAAACACATTAAGTGGGAATGGTTTGAAGAGGATGAAGGGAGAGAGGCGGGTTTGGTGAGATCATTTATGGGAGCATCTGTGTGTATTTACTGGTATGTAGCACAAACGGGTGAGTGTCACCCAGTTACACACATCCTATATTTATCACTTCACTGGAGAAAGAAAAAGCCCACTTGATTCTCTTGGGAATAGCAACTGCATGTGAAAGGAAAGAAGCGATCATTCAGAATATCTCTTTCCCTCTTGCAAAAGGGCAATGGTTATAAAACATGTGTGGGAGAAAAGTAGAGACAGGGGCCGGGAGTCCCGACCCTGGCTACCAGAGGAATTCTTTTGTTTCCTGCCTAATTCATTGCCTAACTTTTGAGTGTTCTGTGGATAAATCTGGATTCTTGTCACACAGATCTTGAATGCAGGGTTTATGTCCTGTTCGTCTTTTGATACCCATAGGCCTGGCATAAATGATAACGACAGTGATAGTGTAATGATGTTGGTGGAGATGATGTATGCATTTATACTCAGCACTGATTTCAACCAATATTTACAGAGTTGCCTATGATGTTTTCACTTGTCTTTGTTTACTTGTTTATCATCTATCTTTCAGAATTGATTTCTATGAACTCAAAAGATGAACTCAAAAGACCTTGCCTGCCTTGTCTGCTCTTGTAACACCCACACCCAGGACAGTGTCAGACACCTAGAAGTGCTCACTTTACATGTGCTATTTGCTCATTTTCTAAATTCTTTTGAAGGTGGACTAACCCAACCTCCAGAGGACCTGACATCAGAGTCTGTCTGGTCTTGGCTCAGCCACATTTCTTTTGTTCTTGCATGATGTATTGGCTTCAAGCTATTTCTCGTTATTCATTATGTCACAGAGATGACCTAAAAGTAACTCAAACCATGCAACACTTTTATAACACTTAAGGACTCTGCAGGTGTGGTTTCAGGTTTCTTAGCGATACAAGAACTCAGGTATTTTCTTTCATATTGTAGATTTCAGTGTGACAGCATTGACCTCTCTCATGTGGGCAAGGTTGCTGCAATAGCTGCATATGTCCCATCAATAAACAAAGACATTCAAAACAGGGAGGAAGGGTTATGGGCTTTTCCTTAATATCTCACTTTGTTACAAGTAAACAAAGACAAGTGAAACCATTCTTAGATTCTAGTTATGTCTCCTTGCTGACAAATGGGCCAAGTGACCACCACATTGGTTAAATTCATCATTTTCAAAAGGAAATTAACCAGGCAGTCATGGTTCATCTTACAAACCCTAGGGAATCTTCCCCAAGCAGATTTCTCTGACATCTGAACAAAATCAGGATTCAGTTAACTTCTTCTGAGAAGAATTAGGAGAGTGCTACCAACAGTTCTGCCATTCCTTAAAAGCCTTTCAAATGTGATGACCTAAATTCTGTTAGTGTTTGGGTACCAGCTCGGGTCATGTCAATAGGGCTTACTGTATCAGTTTAACTTCTTCTTTTTTTTTTTTAATAGGCATGCTTTGGTTCTCAGCAAAATTAAAACTATTTTAACAACTCTAAAATAAGAGAAGTATCAGGTTATGGTGAGTTTATTCCTATAAATTCAGATACTAGGTCTTCATATCACTTCTGGCTTTTTGCATAGCCAAGTAATATCACTCAATCCAGAAGCCTCTTGTTTTTTTTCCGATTTCATATGGCATTGATAATGCTGTCAATTGCCTAGAAACATCAAGTTGTGTGCTGTAACTAATTATAAAAAGATTGCAAAACAGTCTAACAGGGTTAAGATGCATCTTCTGGCTCTTCCTCTTGTCTGTCATGTTTCAGTGGCATTCTGCATACACATGGTTGCATCTGTCTCTGCCTACAAGCTCTAGCTACTGCCTGGGATGTGCAAAACAGAAACATATGGCTGACAGTAATTCTTATGTAGGCTTTTCCTCCCGATGGACTTTGGATTCATACTTGCAAATTGGTAATTATTTTCCTTCCCTTCATCATTCTAGATCTTTTCCAAAGAGTAGGTCAGGAGAGGAGATCTTATGTCCATTTTGTCATGTGCTTTGTCACAGATCAGCAGAACTTGGATGAAAGTTGAGGTGTGTTACTTGTTAAGCCCCAGGTAGAAAGAACTGTGTCTGGGCCCTCCCTGGTGGCACAAGGGCTTAAAGTGCAGCACTAGGAAGAAGCTGGTGGCACCCACTTCAGCAAGAGCTCGATCCCCGCCCCGGAGGTGACCAAAATGGTGCATCAGACCTGCCCTAACTCCACTCCCTACTGCTCCCCTCAGCAGTAAACTTCATGATCTGCCTGTTATGTTCCCTACTCTATCTCTGGTGAATCCTTCTCACCACCCCTGCTTCTGGTCTGTACCCCAGTTCTGTATATATAAATGAACCTAAAAAAAAGAACTGTGTCTGAGAGATGGCAGTTGCCTACAAAGTGTCTGCTGAGTCACCAGAATAGTGGAAGGAAAGGACCTGGACGTCTGAATCATGCAAACATGGATTCAAGTTTCACCTCTGCCACTTACTGTCTTTGTCATCCAGGGCAAATAATGTAATGCTCTCAAGCTCAGTTTCTTCATCTGTGAAATGGGAATAATGTTGCTACCATCAGAAAGTTACTGTAAATATTAGAGATAATGTTTGTAAAACACTTAGCATTATGCCTAATATATTATCAGTCAATCAATAGTAGTTATTTGCCATTCATTTACAAAACTACATCATTCAGGGAAAGCTTTACACCTTGACATGCAAACATACTTCACTTGTCCTCCACCCAAGCTCCCATTCCAATTAATACACTTTTACATCAGCCCCTCTCATCCTTCTTCCTCCCTCTCCCCACTGGATTCTGAGAGTTAATTTTGCTGTGTTTCACCTGTTCATTTTCTCTGGCTATTTGTATCCCACAATCGAATGGAAATTGTCTGACTTACTTAACTTAGCATAATTGCTTCCATTTTGTCCCAAAAGACATTGTCTCATCTTTTTAATGGCTAGGTAATATTCCATTGACTTTATAGACCACAATAAAAAAAATTTATCTGGTCAAAGAAGAACACTTATCCTTTGTGGAAAAGATTTTTCTTTGTGGAGCCCACACCTTGTGGGAAAAATAGTAAAGCCTGAACCCCCAGGTGCCACAGCAAAAGGGTACTTGATGGAGATACACAGAAGGCAGTGCAACCCGGATGGTGAAGGCAGCTCTACTCTCCCTGCCAACAGTCAGAGCTCTCTGAAGTGCAGAGAGCCACTTTATGAAAGCAGAGCATGTGGAGTCAAGTTATCATACAGAGGTAGAAATATCCTTGGGCAGAAAACTACCCAAGGCAGAGAATAAATTCACCATGAAGGATTAAACCTCCCAAGGACTAAATAAACAAATAAACCTCCTAAGAGCCAAGATCTGTCCAGAAGTGAATGAATGAATGAGTGAATGAATGAATGAATGAATGAATGAATGAATGAATGAATGAATGAATGAATGAGCAAACAAACCTCCCAACGGCCCAAATCTGTACAAAAGCCAATTGGGAGGAGTTGCTGGAGTACAGATGTGCTGGAAGTTCTACTAGCATGCGAGCTTGCCAACAGAGACGCCAATGAGTCTCTGCAGATGGTGTAGCCATTCTGCTCTCTGTAGATGGTGTTGACCATTCTGACTCCCACGGTGCCCTCTGGCCCAGTCTGGTGGGGCAAAAGCAAGGGAGCAGGAGAGGATCACAGACGACAAAGAACCTGGGCTCAGAGAGGATGGCAGCTGATCTGGGTTGAAGGTGTTTCCCTTGGCTGCTATTGGAAGAGGTTTCCCAAGTGCCCCAGTGAAGAGAGCTTCACATAACATAGTCACATTGCACTTCTGTCCTTTGTTATACATGTAGCAATGATTTAGTCACCCTCTCAGGTGATCTGTTGGTATTTCATTCATTCCAAGGGCGGATTCTCTCATCTTATCTAATCCACTTGTTGTCCTGAGGAGTCCTGAGTCAGTTGACTGGGAGGCTGCAGCCCCTGAGCCGCGCCCACTGCAGAAGGCTCTGCTCAGCTTCTTCCTGCTGCCGTGGTCCTGGTAGCTTGTCTCGTTGACTTAAGAACCGCCATTTCTCCTTATTGTATTTAGTTTCACCTGCAGTCTAAAGAACAGGGAGGTCACAAGTGCTGTCTTCTCTCAGAATCCTACTCATGCTCCTGGTCGCAGGAGGGGAAGGCCTTGGTACCGGGGAGCTATTGCCCTGGGTGTGGAGGGAAAGAGGGAGGCGTCTTCACCCATGAATGCCTCGCTTCTCTCCCTCTGCTTCAGGACTCCGTGTTGCTGCCAGGCACTGCCTGCCGGAGAAGTAGCATGGCGACATTCTCCAGTGAGGTGGGGTGGAGGGAAACCTCAGAACTGCCTCTTCTGGACATGGTGAAGCTGTTGCAAGTTGAGGC